AGGGTGCGTTTACTTCTGAGTTAGCAGTGCTAATTCTGATAACCGGATGTGACGTCATTAGCACGTGTATTCGTGCTTGCTTGTCCAATTCGAAAGTGAACACATACGTTAACAAGAAATATGGCGGTTTCCAGCCATATTTCTTGTTAGCGTATGTGTTCACTTTCGAATTGGACAAGCAAGCACGAATACACGTGCTAATGACGTCACATCCGGTTATCAGAATTAGCACTGCTAACTCAGAAGTAAACGCACCCATAGATTGTAGTGTTGGAAGTATTAAGCTGATATCCTTCCAGAATGAAAAATTTTTAAAAAAGTGAAAATGTAAAGTCTCATTATAAAAAAAATTAAGTTTATTAGTCTAATGTAAGATCTCAACACAAAAATATTACTAAAACTAAAAATATAATAAAAATTTAGCCTTTATATATATTAATAAAAATTATTTAAATTGCAATGAATCTATATTTACTAGGGTTCTAATTCAATAATTTACATATATTTTTTCATAAAGCATCTATGAATGCCATATTTCATTTGCTTATTATATATTTTGCTCTTCAGATTTTAACAGCAAAATATTTCAAACATACATTTTATGTAAATATATACTTGTATAAATTATTAATTTGTCATTAATTTATTTTTTATACGTTAAAAAATCAAACTGGTTTAAAAACAGTAAAATTGCAGAAAGCTGAAGCAAAATAAATATAACATCCAGTTTTAACTACTGTTAAAACTGGAAGTTATATTTATTTTGCTTCAGTTGTCAGGTAACTTCAGGTATTTTAAAATCAGTGTACTTTTGTAATAAGTTATGCACTAGTTAATTGAAAAAGATTACAATTTAAAATTATAACTTTTCTAAATTTAGGATCATATAATCTAGTTTTTAAACATTTTATAATAATTTTTAATATTTTTCTAACTATTGGAAAAATTAAAGTATGATTGATTAAAATTTTTTTTACATAAAGATTATATAAAATTGATATTAATGCTTATCAGAAGCTGTTTGAAAATATATGTGATTGTTAAAATTCTTTATTTATTTTTGTAGATGAGCTGGCAAATGAAATATATATCTTTAGCAACACTAGTTGTTCAAACTACAACATTAGTATTATTATTAAGGTATTCTAGAACAGTTCCCCAGAAAGGTCCCCGGTATCTTAGCTCGACTGCTATTGTCATTTCTGAATCTCTTAAGATAATTGCGTGTTTAATTGCATTATGTTCACAATGTGGTATGTGGTTTAAGTACTAAATTATAAATAAGAATTTAATTTTTTTTAATTTAAAAATTAATTTGAATCATGAATTATATCATGAATTTGTAATTAAATATTGCTTTTAATAAAAATAACGATTATTGATTAAAATTATATAATTTATATCATATTTTTTTTATTTTAGGATGGTCAGTACCTGAATTACTTAAATTATTATTCAGAGAAGTCTGGAAAAAACCTGCTGAAACATTAAAACTTGTTGTACCAGCAGCATTATATACAATACAAAATAATCTATTATTTTTAGCACTATCCAATTTAGATGCTGCAACTTATCAAGTAAGAATTTTATTTATATTAGTACAGTATCATTACTTCATATATATTTAATTATTATTTACAAGTTTGAAAAAGAATTTTGCTAATAAATTTATCTGACATTTTCAGATTTAAAATTTAACATTAAAAATATTTTCTTTTATTTGAATTTTATTATTTTTTATAACATTTTCAGTTTTTTCATTCATTTATTATCAATTTGAAATATTATCAGTAATAATATTAAGCTTTATTGTGTCTACCATCTTTCCCAGAACAAGAATGGAGTTGTTGATCATTAATTTACACATGAAAGAAAATAGTTACATGCAGTGGTGATATTCAGCGGGTTCGCACAGGTTCGGCCGAACCCGTTGTTAACATTTTCAAAGTTTTCCGAACCCGTTGTTAAACACACGTAACATTTCTCAGTGGTTTTGTTTCTTTTAAAAAATATATTAAAATATACGTATTATACTCTGTAACACTACTAAACTAGAGCCTTATACCCTGTTCGCCTGGTGCATCCTCCATCGGCCGTTTCAATCTCGACTGAAACGAGGTTCAATCGCGATCGACTCGAGAGAGTTCTCGAAACTAGATCCAGTCATAAGAGAGATCCCACAATCCCACGCGCGCGAGAAAATACAAGGTGGCTGAGGAACACGTGTCGAGCTATCGACAGCGAAATAAGAAAGATATTGTGTTTCGAGAGACGATGATATCTGCCTATTATAATAATACCTAACGATAAAATAAATGATTTAGAAAAAGTTTTTCTTGTTTAACTGCTTTCCCTATGACTTTTTCTGATTAAAAAAAGCCAATATTTTGAATGAAAAATATTAAAATATGTACAAAATAAACCATTTTGAACACTCTTTTTTATTTTTTATAAAAAAATATAGTTCTGGCATAAACAATGTTAAATTTTAACTGACTTAATTTTGCGAACGCATCTTTTTTTATTTATATGGGTATCTTAAGGTCAGTTTTTTGCGCTAATGTTGCTAATGCACCATTTGAGCGAAAAAAAAAAAACTGTTAAGGAAAAATTTTCTGTTAGCGAACCCTTTGTTAAATATTTCGAATATCACTACTGGTTACATGTTTATTATGAAGTATAACATAATATACTCAGGGTATAGACAAGAATATTGCACCTGTCTATATTCACTTATGCTGTGCATATCTAAATGCAATTGCACTTGAATATAGGTAGGCTAATTGGTAATGGACTGTTTATTTGTTCATTGATTTGGATACATGGTTACATTTTTTCCTCCAGCATTGTCTTTGAATGGGATAAATTCTATCTTAGGTCCTACATAATGATATAGTTTAAATTACAGTCATAGAGCATCTCAAGCTCAATACAAAGTGTTTTATTTTGTTAAAATACTCAATGAACAAAGTGGTTGGACATTGCCAAAAACAATGAACAATGAAATGGTGTGAGGCTTCTTTGCATGTCCTTGGGCACTCAAGGCCATGCAGAATTTCATAAATTTTATGGAATTTTGATTTTTTAAAAATAAAGTTTTGTGACAAGTTATAAGAAGACCTAAGAGAAATTACAGAATCTTTCTATACTAGTTACACAAGTTCTGTTGGGTTCAAGTGTGTAGATCTAGCTAGTTAATTTATTCTTTAAATATCCTCAACTCTCAAAGTAATTATTGATAAGCTGAATTTTGTATGGCCAAGTATTATCATCTGTAAAAAGAAATTGGAGCTTAATAGTATACTGGAAAAGTCTAACATAATATAACTAAATATTATCTGTACTATACATAGAACCTACATGCTCAAATCTCTACTTCATACAGTTAGAATGACATGCAATAACATTGTTATTGCAAACTAACATATCTTTGTAACCAAAAATACATTCTCTGATGTCGGATAGATAATTACAAGTTCTTTACATTTTCCAGCTGAAAATGTGTTGAGAATAGTCTAAGTGGCTTTTTGTTTATTCGAAAAAGTAATTCTGATCTATAAGAAATGGTGTCTGAATTATTTGATAAATTCTCCTTTAAGAATGAAGATGCAAATCATGGATCTTTTTGTATGAAGAGCATTCTCATTACGTCTATATATGATTTGCCTTGAAACAATTATCTTTTAGTTGAAGAAAGCTCTAAAGAAAATTGTCTGATGTAATTTTCTTATAAAATTTTACTGCCAAAGTAAGATAAGATAATGCTTATCAAGAGATATAATAATTTTTGAAGTGTCCTTGCTTAAGCCTTTATCACTCCTGAAATTGCTGCCATAATTTTGAAATTATCTTAGATGGATATTCAAATATCTTGCTACTTGAGTTTGAAATTGACCTACTTCTGGTCTTCCTTTGATTCTTTTATTGAATTTGGTAAACGTAAATATGATGTATTATTAATTACTTTTATTGACAAGAAATACTTTTAAAATGCTTTTTATCACAAGAAATGTGAACTCTTTTATTAAACACTTTACCTTATTTACATGTTGGAGTGCTATTTGCAAATTAAACTTGCATTAATAGATGTTAAAAATTTATGTAGAGTAATGCTTTTAACTTCTATAAGTGATTTTTTTTATTGCTGGAGCATTCATGTTGAAAGATGATGATATTGGCATATTAGTCTACATAGAAAAGTTTATGGAATGGGTAAGTTTGTTAGAGATAACCAAGTTCAAGTTAATGAAACAGAAACAAAGAGACTATTTTTTAAAAAAGTGCCATGTCATTGAAACACCATTTGGAAAATGTTTGGAATCTTGTTCCTCTGGAAGTGCCATTAAAGGTAGAAATGGTAAGAAGAATTTAGATCAAGAATTGTTTTTAGAAGAAATAAGAGATGTGTTGTGTGAAATGAAAGTGGCAATAGAATCAAAAATTGAGTCAGAACTATGTATGGTACAAGATTCTTTAACAGAAATTAATGAAAAGATTAATTGGAATTAACAATGTGTTTAATGTGTATTTCTAGTAACTTTAGATTAGTTTATGTAATATCTTAGCATTGAAATTTTTTTACAAAGCAAAACAAAAATTTATTATATAAAAATGGTAATATATGTTAATGTTTTTAAAAATGTAATTAAAATTTAAATGTAAGTATTGAGATTAGGATGTTATTTTTTCCTTATATTTTATATTTTTAAGGATTTTTATATATATTTTGTAAATATCAAGACAAATATTTATAAAATACATTTTTCATAACAGATTATTAAAAATATTTTTTTCTTGAAATAACAGGTGACATATCAATTAAAAATTTTGACAACAGCTTTATTTTCTGTCAGCATGTTACACAAACATCTAGAGGTTCCTCAATGGCTGGCATTAGTTTTATTGATGGTAGGAGTTGCACTTGTGCAGGTAATTTAAAGATTTATGCATAAAAAATTTATAATGTAAACAAATATCTATTTAATATTGCTAGAAATTAATAAATATGATTAAAATATGTTAATTTTTAGTAAATTTAGAGTAAAATTTATTGTTTTTAAATATTTTTAAAACACTTTCTCTATTTTTTTCATTATTCCAGTATTTGCAATATGGATTTGATAAAGTTATAACTGAGACAGAATTCAATCTAATTACCAGAATGTATTCATTGATTTATTTTATTATCTATTCTCCAAAATGCATTTCAGGCCACTAAGCCCTCTTCAGTTGGAGTACACTTTACATAACAGAAGATATAAATTCAAGAATAGATTACACTAGTAATAAAGCTAACATTAAAACTAGGTAAAATAAATCAATGAAAACTTTCTGGTGATTACACTCAATTCCGTCTCAGGTATAATAAGCAGTGGCGTGCTGTGACATTTGATGATAGGGAAGCTGTGTTTCTGTAAGAAGCCGACATCCAGGGGCAATCAGTCAATTGCATGTCAGTGATGGTCTAGGGTCCAATTGTATCATTTATTCCAGCCACTAAAGCCAGTAAAAACCGTAGACTTTTCTAAATGTATTTTTAATATCACAATTACATTCTGAATTGCTAGCCACGATATAAGGGCTACAATTAAAAATAAAATAATAAAAACTTACTTGGTGAAATAAAATTTGTGATGGATATACTGGTACAATATATTTTGTACTGGGACATACCCAGTACGAAATATTCTTCAATTGTATGAATATACTTTTAAAGAAAATTATAATTAAATATAGCTTTGTAAAGAAACGTACATAAAAAAATAAAATATTCTTTACTTTTTAAATCTTAAAACAATGCACTTAATCAAATAGCTCCCTACCAGTGGCTAATGGATGGAATCAAAGACGGTTGCAGAGCGTGCATACACACAGACTGCCAAATCCCCAGGGTGCCGATACCAGTCAATGTCAAATACCTCTTTTGTTGCATCACTAGTATAGCTCAAAGGATGCAACAGGGCTGTTGTAGATTTTAAACGTTTCTCACCATAGCTGTAAAAATCTAAATATGTTAAACTTAATAGTCATTTGTTTTCCAACTAATTGGTCTTAGGACCAAGTGTACTCAGAAATTTCCAAAATTTACAACTTTTCAGTCACTCTCATTGAACTGAAAAATTTCTGTCTTTATTACATTAATAATATGAAGAAATCAGTCTCCACTGTACTGTGGTTCGGTTAAGCTTTTGTTTAAGTAAAATTTCGGCTCTTTCATCAGGGTTTTGTTTATGTCCCCAATTCCCTAATTGCTTAATTATTTAACTACTTATTAAGTAGAAATAAGTCGAAACCAGTTACTTTGTACTTGAATAGGTGTATTAAATACTCGGCTCGGATGTCACACTAACAGTTAACTCAATCAAAAACTTCATCAAAAACTTCAGATTATGAGGTGTTAAATAGAATTAAAAGAAATATTTAATCTTGCAAGCGCTTTCAACGTAAATATGTACGTCGTCTTCAGGCAATTCAAAACCGAATAGAGAATTCGAACAGAACACCTCATAATCTGAAGTTTTTTATGAAGTTTCTGATTTTGTACTTGAATATTTGTAGTCTTGGGAAAGAAGTGGAAAGACAAATTTTTATGACAACGGATATATAAACCGTAAATTTAAGAAAATAAATTCTAGAGCTTTTTTGTACCTCGTGCATCTCTCATTCATTAAATTTAGTTGTAAATGATGCTACCAAAGTAACAGTTAATTTTTAACATTGTACAAGAATTGTACACATTTTTTTCTACATCTCCTTAAAGATGGGACATATGAAATTGTAATATCACTGGTTTAACATTGAAATCCATAAGTAATATAAAATGGGAGAGCGGAATAAAAATATCAAATATTTTAATGGATTTTTTAAAACTCCTGTCAACTATACAGAACTATCATAAAAACATACCAGTAAATTCTTATCGGTTGGGTTAAGTTATAAAGCTACTCATGATTCACGTAATCGGGTGAGGGTGGCCAAATATCTAGCGGGCAGGCGGCTAACAGCCCGGAACCAGTCCTGGATAGAATTGGATGTGGTATACATGTAGCATCCACCCAAGGTCCTAGGCTTTCACCAGCTAAACCGGGTGAGGTTGGTGCTCTGTAAAGTGCATGCGCGAATCTGGCTTTTTGAATGCTGACAATACAGTGCTTCCACTCTGCCACTAATATTTGAATATACAATAGCAATCTTATTTTTTTTTTCACATGTAGTATAGAAATTTGTAATAAGATACATAATGCAGTTATAATAAAATATTGTGTGATTATTTTCATGTAATTAAAATTAATATGTATTTACTTTTTAGAAAATACAAGGGAAGTGGTGCATCCACCGCTTCCAATGACAGCCACCACTGATAATAACTCTATCAAATCTATATGCAAATAGTGAAATAGTTAAAAAATAGAAAATATAATAAAGAAGAAGCATTCAAACCAAAACACTTTGGCTGATGATTGATTGCTTATAATAAATAGCCATTTATTGATTGAGTTTATATTACAGACCATGTAAGTGTATAGAAAGATTCAATTTCAATAAGTGTGCATTTAAAGTTTTGTTATTTTAAATTATGAAAGTTTTGTTAATGAGAGTAGTATCTGCTTCAATTAGTTTTTTCCTACAAAAATAACCTTCCAATTATTGATTGTGGGAACTTAGCTAGATTATGACTCAGACTTTCAGACTTTAACTTAGAGTTACTTATTTTAACTCAGTTTTATTTTTTAAAATATAATGGTATTATCTCATCTGATAACATTGTTCTTCAATCAAATTTGATTGAGTTAACTGTTGGCGTGACATCCAAGCCAAGTATTTAATACACCTAACATTGTTCTTCATATACCAACCTGTCAAACTCAGAATATGTCTTGTTTATATAAATTGCTGTGTTGCCTTGATATTTCCTGGCACTTTTTTTCTATCATATTTTGAAAATGTAAAATATACTGAGAACTTTTTGCATTTAGAAAGTATTTGGGTAAACACCCAAATACTTTTATAGTTAGTATTTTTAATATTTAACTTACATTAATATTTATTTGTATAAAAAAGTTAATTTTTAATAAATATTTAATAAGAGAAGAAAGGGAGTGCTAAAATGCTACATCTACATATATTTGATAGCATTTGCACTTCAATTTCACCCTTCCAGAAGAGTTAGTCCAACTAAAAAGTGTGTGATCTGGCTAGCTACTTCAGCCCCTTGTTCAGAAAAGAAGAATATGTGCTCTGATCAATTAGTCTGGCTCATTCAGGGAAATAGAGTATTTATTTAGAGCAGGGATAATAAAGGAATGATTCAAAAATNATCTAGCTAGCTACTTCAGCCCCTTGTTCAGAAAAGAAAAATATGTACTCTGATCAATTAGTCTGGCTCGTTCAGAAGTACAGAGTATTTATTTAGAGCAGGGATAATAAAGGAATGATTCAAAAATATTCAAATTCAATTGGGTCAAAATAATTTAACTACTAAACACAAATACTACACAGAACACTACATATTTAATAAATTAAATTGATGCATTTTGTATTTAAAATAAATGAATTATAACAAAATTCAAAAAGATTTTAAAAAAGTAATAAATATATAATAAATTTTCTTTCATTTAAATAAAAAAACTAAAGTAAATTTAAAATGTTGGAGTTGACACATTTTTTCTGACTCTGACTCCTCTGGCCGGAAATTTCTCCCAACTCTGAATCCACAGTCCTGACACAAGCACAACGAAACATTTATAATTCTCTCACTAGTTGGTGTTAGCTATCTGCAAGCATAGTGATTGACTCAAAGCACCCAATCTTGCTTTGGATTGGTTGATGTGAAATGTGCACTAATTGTGTGATAATATTCAAATTGTATGTATATTCAGATTAAAACAAAAAAAACAAGAAAAAAAATGAAACCATTTTGATTTTGCAAAATCAGTCAGCATCACAAGGCCTTCAGAAACATGAGGCGTTGTGTGCTCGCACTGTTTGCATACCCCTCGGACCGGCCCTGGCTGTGTTGTTCCTGTCAGTGGATTTGTTTCTGACAGTAAAGATGGTTTTCCATCTCGTAAAATTCTTTGTGTAAATCATGCATACCCTCTATAAAGTGTTCCACTTCTGGGATGATGTGTTCAGGTACACTTGTAGAGAGTGAAGGAGCAATGACAGACCATTCTTGGTGACTACATGTATATTGTCTGGGGGAACTATGTTGTCCCAACAGACAACACTGATGAGACGATTAGGTTCTTTGGTATGTTTTTGTGCTACATAACCAGGAGATCTTCATTTTGTGCATTTACAGAGGTAGAAGTCAACAGAATCTGCCAGTGATGGTTGATGTGGGAAATTAATAGAGGGTCACATTGGTGGATGTTATTTTCCAGAGCTATGATTGATTTGGGGATGGTGTATTTATGTCTCCTGGCTAAATGGATAGCTTTACAAATGCAAATGGAACATACCTGGTGATAGAATGAAGCACATTTGGATGGGAGAGAGATGTTGATGATGGAAGGTGGGAAGATGCCTAAAGAACGACATTGTAGAAGGAAGTCCATTTTTGCCATAGTGTGGCAAAGATGTAAGATGAGTTTATGGCATTGTTTGGCTGGTGAAGCCATTTATAAAATACTGCCACTTAAAACTGGTGATATTTGAATTAATAACACTAAAATCTATATTCCAGCTGTTTTTCATATATATATATATATATATAAAAAAAGCAAACATTTTTGTTGAATGGGCATCATCAGGCAAACTGATCCTCAACTGCTGAAACAATGGGGGATAATT